GGAAGTTAGCAGTACAGGGAGTGGGCTGCTTAGACTCTGATTGCTAGAACCGGTCTCTGTGTACATATCACTTGTGTGTATGGGTTCCACGCTTTCCAACTGATTTGTAAAGGAGACCAGAAGCTTGGTGACATGCTGCCCAGTCAGTGTGCCACACCGCACAAGTGCACGCCAGATACACACGCCCCGAACACAAGGAAGCCCCCAGCACATCTTTCTGCCTTTGTCACCCCCCTGAGGGTCTGAGGGTGACCCAGAGAGGGAAGGGAAGGGAAGAGACTATTTCTGACAATTTTTTTTTATGGTGAAGTTTTGCTCGCCCAGCACTGATCACCTATAGGTTAAATGTGGAAGACTGAAACTCTTGGTGGGGGTCTCATGAAGCAGAGCAAATTTCAAAGAAGGATGGCAAGGCCAAGAGCTGGAGAGGCAACTCAGAGGCTAAGTAGGTACTGCCCTTGCTCCAAGCACCCACGATGAGTGGCTCATAACTGCCAGTAACTCCAGCACCAGGGACTCTAAAGACCTCTAGTGTCTGCCAACATAGTACATGTACACACACACACACACACACACACACACACACACACACACACACGCGCGCGCGCAATTTAAAGGTAAATCTTTTAAAAGATTAAAAGGCAAATCTTGTCAGCACCCTGCTGCTATCCAAATGGCACCCCCCTACATGGCGAGCCTTGTAGACCTACACTCAGAGCTGGCAGGTGGTATCCCCGACTCCAGAGCTAGACCTACCCCATGCCATGCTCACCCAGGCTTGAGGCTCTCATGGTGTCTGGCTCCACCCTTGGGCCATGCTAAGCATCTAAATCACAGGCCTGTCATTGACTCCGAACATACAAATCAGTGGTAGAGTCTCAGACTTTTCCGGCCTTTGCTTCCCCAGCTGTGAAACCTCGGGGCCTATGTGGAGCCCAGTACGCAGTAGACACTACTTGCCCTCTTCCCTTGCCCTGTCTCACCAGTGCCCCCTGTTGAAGCCATATTTCTGCAGGGCTGACACCTGATCCATACGGTCCCAAAGAAAGTCAAAGCTGGGGGCTGTGTTATGAGAAGTGAGGCAGGCAGGGCTTCAGGTCAGCAGCACCCAGAAAGGACGTGACTCTCCTGCTGGGTGTCAGTCAGCACCTCAGCGCTGTCCGTACCACTGAGCGTGTAATGGATACGGTTCCTTGGGCATCCCACTCCTAAGAGGCAACTCGCCCCTGTGTGCAGAGGCTTAACGCAGCATGAAATACAAATCTATATTTCTGAAAACCTAAATCATGCGTCTCTCGGCAGCTTCTGTACTGAAGAAAGTGAAGAAGCAGGCATTAGGCTAGGTCTCTGTACCATGGTGGTGCCTGCAGGCTCAGTGCCAGGACAGCCAATGTGCAGCCATTTTCATCCTTTAGTTCCCCACTTCCCTGCCTTATTATCACATTAGGAACCACACCTGTGTGTTAGGGAAACGTGGGATGTGGAAAGAGGCCTTCTCTGGTTTTATAAGTCTTAAGATGACTTGAAACTACTGAGAAACAGTCCTCATTTTCAGTGTTTTAGGAAAAGAGAGAGAGAGAGAGAGAGAGAGAGAGAGAGAACCACTCCCTTCAATTGCAAAGACCGTGTCCCATTAAATCGCATAAGGGACCCTAAAATACGGAGTAAAAGATAATCTCAAAAAGGAAATGGCCTTCCACTATTCGACAGCTGCTCCTCTGCAGCCCTTCAGGGGTTGGTGACCCATTTATCCCGGCGTTGCACACTTTGTAATGTAGTGACATCCCAGATGTGATAAGAAATGTCTGCATCCCACTCACCACACTCAGATGGGAAGTATCGAGGCTAGTGAACTCCTGTCCCCTTGAATGGCCCCTTACTCAGCAGGTGAATGGCCAGAGAGAGCTCTATCCTGCTGCAGGAAGCACACTGTGGTCTGATGATGTGGGATTCCCCCTCTGCATGCTGTGAATATCGTTGGTTAATAAAGGAACTGCTTTGGGCCTATAGCAGAGCTATAGGGGAAAACAGACCTAGGTGAGGAACACTAAACTGAATGCTGGGAGAAAGAAGGCAGAGTCAGAGAGAAACCATGGAGCCCACCAGAGACAGATGCTGGAACTTTAGCCAGTAAGCCACAGCCACGTGGTGACACACAGATTAATAGAAATGGGTTAAATTAATATGCAAACCAGGACTTCTGTTTTGCTTTAACAAGTATTTGTTGAGAATGCACCAAATGCCAGGTAGGGAAGAGAAGCAACTGAACCATGGGTTAAAACTCTTTGTCCTGTTGGAACACAGGGTATGCTGGGTAGGGGATGAATGTTGTAGGTAGATGGTGGTAAAAGCGTCCTGAGGCAGGAGCCTGTGTGATTTTTTTCTGGACTGCAGGAGCACTGTCCCCCTGAGCAAGGTTTGCTGTGAGGACAGGTCCCTGAACTTGCACTCAGGAGGCAAGCATGACCTAATGTCAGCAGCAGCTGCATCCTACTAGGGGCGTTCTCCTGCCAAGAGAACGCAGCTGCTTCAATTCCCGCAGACCACGTAGGAATTCCGTGAGGGGAAGAAGAAAATTGAAACCCCGAGACCTTCATTCAGGAAGTTGCCCAGTCTGAGAGTCTCTGAGGAGGGAATGAGCCACGGGGGAACCTTCTGGGAGACCTGGCAGCAGTGCCGGAGGGGCGGTGGTGGAGGGGGTGCTTTCTCAGACATTTTTGTGTCCAGTGACCTGGGGCCCCTTGCACACACAGCACGGGGCCCCAGGACTCCATGCTTTATGCAGGGGTATTCCAAAGACAGCTGCAGTCAGATATTTGGCCCGGGTGTAGCCCTGAGTTAATCCAGACCAGGTTATGGGGCCACAATTCACTCCTGTACCCACCGAGCTACACAGCACCAGAGATGAACAGAAATAGGTCGTTGAGCCTTTCTTAATAGGGAAGCAAAGCCTGGGCCCTGCTACAGGCAGTAGGTGAGCCCCTGGGCCCCCTCCGTTTCCACCCAGGGCATATGTTAACCTCGTGGGTTTGGCTGTCTAGAGACCCACACTACTCCAGGGAGCTGTCAGTCACCGATCTTAGCATTCTTCTGTGGCCCACGTCACAGACTGATCTGACGTCATAAAGGGGCTGAAGGGGACAGCTTAGCCAAGATTGGTACTTCACGTCTACCTCATGGGTTGTCTTACCCAGTCCTCCCACCTCTGGTCCTGTTCTACCTCTCAGCTCGTTCCCCGAAACTACCCTCTCCCCTATGGCGCACATACGGCATTTCTAGGACTTGACGAGTGCCTTCCTTAGGTTTACTAGCATGGTGATAAAACACCGTGACTGAAAGCGACTTGGGGAGGAAAGGGTTGATTTCGTTCACAGTTCATCATCAAAAGGAGTAAGGGCAGGAGCCTCGAGGCAGGAGCTGATGCAAAGTCCGTGGAGGAGTGATGCTTACTGGCTTGCTCCCCAGGGCTTGCTTAGCCTGCTTTCCTATAGAACCCAGGACCAGGAGCCCAAGGGTGGTACCACCCACAATGGGATCTCTCTCCACATCAGTCACTAATTTAAAAAATGCCCTACAGCCAGATAATATATAGAGGCTTTTTTTTTTTTCAATTGAGATTTCCTCCTTTCAGATAACTCTAGTTTGTGTGAAGTCGACCTAAAACTAGCCAGCATGGTGTCTAAACATAGTCTTCATGTGTCTAACTTGGTAGTGACATTTTCCCTCTGGTCATTCCCATGGATCACACCCTGATGTTCTTATCTGCCACAGGCATGGGTGGACACGGGGATCTACATGTCCCTGGGGAGGAGGGTCGTCTCCTGATGGCTGCTTGCCTTCAGAAGCCCAGGATGTTCCCAACATCGGTGTTCCTGGCTTTCGTTCTAGGGGCATTAACAGAGGCCACTGAGCCCCACTGAGTAGAAGAACTAGAAGGCCTACAGAAGGTGGGGAGACCTTTGGCCTCCATGGGACTCTTTATTCTAGGCTCCTCCTCGGGGCCTCCTCCGTCCTGACATGAATTCTAGTGAACTGCTGTGTTTCTGCTTCCCCTTCCTCTAAAGGCCCTTTGCAGAGTCAGGAAGATGCCATTGGGATCTAGCAGCCCCAGATACTGTACTATAGGACCTTCTAGGAACCTGCAGTCCCAGGACAGACCGATCATACCCCCAAGCCCGCAGCTTTGGGCACAGTTCTTGAGACGGCTCGTCTGTCCTCTGCTATGGAACTGAGGTGCCCATCCGCTTTCATGGCTGGATCCTGCAAGCAAGGATCTGATGCAGGTTCCTCTAACAGTCAAGTCCAGCTGTTCCCTAGACTCCAGAAGGAGGGGAGCCCTTCTGCCAGGTTATTCCGTGCTCAATAGTGCTGCAAAGAAGACATGCACACATCCTCAGTGTGTCACACAAAGGGCTGACGTCTCTTCGGTCTTATCTGCAAATGAGGCTTGCAAGTAAAGAAGTAAAATAATTAGTAGCAGCGCAAATGTTTCTAGAAAGTGTGGAGAAGCTCAGGCTGACTAGAGAAACCTGGCAGGAAAACCAGGCCTAGCTAGTTTACTCGACTATCCCTAAGGTTCATCTTGCTCAGATATCAGAATGCAGAAAGCATAGAGAAAAGGGGAAAACATGGTGAGCTACAGACACCAGGCCCAGGGTTCAGGAGTCCTGGAAACTGAGCATCACTCTGCCTCATTGAGCTTCTTCTTGTCTTTGACACAAAATAAAAAGCCCCTCACTTCACCCACATACCGCCTGGCTATTTAGTGGGTCAGGGTAGTGTTGTGCCCGGCAGGTCCACAAGCACGAGGAACACACCTGCTTTCCTCTACCTCAGGGGCTGTGATAGGATCGAGTGAGGTAAAGGGTAGGTGACTTCTGTGAATTCTAGTGCCCTGAAGAGATCAGCTATTCTTTAGATGGGGCTCATTGTCCTGTGCCTCCTCTGTCATCCAGTGTGCCCCTCAGACATGTCCACTGACCCTTGCCCTCTGTCCACAGGTACCTGGCTCTCTATGCATACAAACCCCAGAAGAATGACGAGCTGGAGTTACGTAAGGGGGAGATGTATCGCGTGCTTGAGAAGTGCCAGGACGGCTGGTTCAAGGGGGCTTCACTGAAAACCGGGGTCTCCGGGGTGTTCCCCGGGAACTACGTGACACCCGTCTCCAGGTGAGAGCCTGGCAACCTGATCAAGAAGAGAGAGAATAAGGCCTGCATTGCCCTAATGCTGTGGAAACCCTGGAGGCCATACTGTAGGCTGGTCCCTGGTTACACCCAGTCCAGAGGCAGTGGGGACATTTGAGTTCCTTTGGGGAGGAACTGTCAAGCTTGGTTTGCTAGGCTTTCTCAGTGAACACTGGCTACCCAGGGGATAATTCTGGGAGCAGGAGCTGGAGTAAGCAACAGCAGCTGAGTTGGGGGCTGGGATGGGAAGGTCATCAGAGAACCAGATCTTCAGGGTACATGCTTGTAAACAGGCCAGTGTGTGTGCATCCTTATGCAATGCACACAGGATGTTATCAAGGTTGCATGCGCATATACGTACTCATGTATGTGTGTGTATGCAATGAGTATGGGTCATGTCCGTGCTTACAGTAGAGTTATGCTATATGCATAAGCATGAAAGTGTGTGCCCCACATTGGTGTGTACACCCACATGTGCACAACATTTACATGTATGTAGAGTTTGATATGTATATAGTATGCACATGTGAGTATCTAATGTGTCTCTGCATGTATGTGCATGATATAGGTATAATACACAAGTACATATAGGTAGTATAGGCATAGCATATATGGATGCATTTGTACCATGGGAGCATAGCATATGTACACATGTATGATATATGTACATGACATATACATTTGTAGTATGAGCACAGCGTGCATATATATGTAAAACACACACAATCAAATAAAGGAAGTGATCAATGTCTTAAAGTAACGATTGTTAATGGCTGATAGCATTATGGGCATTTTTTAAATCCTTTCCTTGTGCTACCTAGCATTTTTACAGATCACAATTACATTACTTTTGAAATAAGGAAAGCAATTGTTAAAATTCACTGAAGAGGAGGCCCAGAGTTGTCAGAAGTTTCTGTTGTGTTATAAGGTTCGCTGATTGGCTGTTAGACTGTCACTCACAGCAGCCCCTTCAAACAGCCTGTGCCAACAACAGCAGACATAAAAGTAAACTGTTTCAAGTATCTTTGGAAGATGCTGAAAAAAAAAATGCCATTCTGACGCCTGCTTATCCAAGTGGCTTCAGAAGGTGTCATGAGCCACCTTTTTGGGCTGCCTAGCATGACAGGTTTGTACGAAATGTTAGGAAGAACAGAGATAAGGAAGAATCACAGAGACACAGGATAGGAACAGGAGGGCCACTCAGCGAATCCTGAATGCTGAATTTTTGAGTTCTGAGTCCTGAGTCCGCCCATGCTTAATTTTCTATACACTTTTATATACACTTCCCCAATACAAAAAGGGGGAAGAAGGCAAAAGACTGTGTTAATATGATTCAAAGGACAACCAGAACAATTACTTGTTTCAATACTTGAGACATCAAGCCATTAATTCCTGAGTAAAGCTATTTGATGTCTGGGACAGTGAACCCACCCTAGACCAAGTATCCTGCAGGCAGCCGCTCCCTAAGTCAAACCTCCTATTTCTAAAGAAGGAACAGAAGCATGCTTGAATTCTCAGGGTGGAACGGATCTACCTCCATGGGCCATCTTAATGTCCAAAACACCAGTAACCACACCCTAGGTCAGGGTATCTTGTTTATAGCCACACCTGCTGTCAACAACTTTGAAAGCACAAAACTAAGCTCAAACTCTCTGACCTCCAGACACAGTGGAGTAGGCTCACATTTCTTGGGTCTCCACGAGAAAGTACCCAGGAGGACACATAATCACTGGCGTTGTATCTTAGGTTGTATGGGTAGGCTTTTCAACTGGGCCCACCACTCACCACAATGTAGAAAGGCTGCCTTTGGTCTCATGTAGACAAGCAGAAGGCTGTCCTTCCCTGCTCTGCCTCAATACTGACACCATCTCTTATCCTCACTGTGCATTAGAAAACTGCCAAAACCACGCAGCAGAAACAAGTGACAGAGGGACAGCCTCTGTGTGCAGAACCTAAGTCGCCAAAGTAGTCTGAGCCTGGCAGGTATAGACTAGAGCTGCTTTATAGCTGTCGCCTACAAAGGACATCGCAGGTGGCTCTTTCTTGTTTTTTGTTTGGGGAGTATTTATTTATTTGCTTGCTTGCTTGTTTTACAAAAGAAAGGAAAGTCTGGCCTTGTGTGCTTGGGTACTTGTAAGAACAGTAAGGAAATATGCTGGAACACACCTGGCCAGACCGCTGCTACCCAGAGGGAGGGGGACTCAGCTGCCACAGGAGGCACGCTGCGGTCCCTTGCCCTCAGCCTTGTTAACATGGCTTTGCAAGTATAAGGCCCACACTTTGAAGCTCATCGGTTTGGTTTGTAAAGATCGAGCATGGGTTTACAGCAGTGGTTAAAATGGATGATGGAGACTCACCCACTGGCAGGGCCACTCATTCACAAGAGCAAGCTTCAGAATACCTCTAAAGGATGGGGAAGGAGTGCAGTGCCGGTAACCCCTTAGTGGTGGCCCCCTTTCCGGAAGGCCCTGCTTCTTTCCCATCGCTGCTACACAGACACTCCTCTGAGCTCTGCAGGGCTCTTCCCTTTGGAAGTCCCCACCCAGGGCGCCGGGAGCTGACAGTACACCTAGCCCAGGACATGTCAGTGTTGGGCAGAACCACTCTTCTCTGGAGCATCATGCCTCCACTCTGCTCCCATCATGCCTTCCTCCTGGCACATTTTAATCCCCCTTCACCACAACCTGCAGCAGCCCATGAGCCCCAACACCATCCCCAGAGCCAAGGCAAATGCCTGTGTAGAGAGAGCTAAAAGCCGTTTCCAAAGTGGCTGAGCGCTCATCTCATGGCGAGTGCGTTCATCTGGGAGTTTGGGGTGAGAGTGTCTCTCAGGTATAAGCTGCAAGTTCCCTGTTGTTTTCGGGGGGTAATGGTGTTGCTCCTATGCCCATGTTCAGTGGCTGGCAGAAATAAGATGGAGGCGTGTCTAGGAGAAACCACCATCACGTCCCATCCTGCTCCAAAAGTATTTGGCTTGTGAGACATGAGAGAGTCCACCATCTTTCATATAGCTCTTAGTAAAAATCAAGCACAGCCAAGACTACCCTTGCTCAGCTCGACCTCTGGGCATCCTTTAACTAATATTGGCTTGATATTGTCTTAGGACTTCCGTGGACCACGTGATGTTGCCCTACCTCTCAGAGCCTATTATATAGGTCAGAGATGGTTTTGCCATGGCACATGACACTGAATTTACCTGAACCCACTCACCTTCTTGGTTCTGCTTATTTCCCCAGGATTCCTGGAGGAGGTACTGGGTCACCCTGGAATAATATGCTCGGAGGGTCCCCATTGGCCAAGGGGATGGCAACCATTATGCACCCTGGAGGTGGCAGTCTGAGCAGCCCAGCCACCGCCACCAGGCCTGCTCTGCCTCTCACTACCCTGCAGGACCATATGCAGCACACAGCCACCTCCCTACCAACGGGTAGCTGCCTTCGGCACACTGCTCAACCAATAGCCGGCCAAGCTGGGGGTACCACCATCCCAACAGGTATGAACACAAACTCCCAGGGATTCTCCCTGACAGGAATCAAGTAGGGGGGACCTGGGATGCAGAGCATGAGATATGTATTGGCAGAGGTCTCTCTCAAGCCAGCATGTGGGGAGTCAGGTTTGCTTCCCATAACATGGAATCTCTGATCTCCAGTACGTGTGCCCACCTTCTGGTGCCCAGCTCTGGCAGCTGAAGGGGCACAGAGGATTTACAAATACTTGTGCATTGTCTTGTGGCATGCAGGAAGATGTCATGGGTGAGCAAGATTGGCAAAGTATCCCCTGATCCCTTTGCTGATGGCGTAACTAGAAGCTGCCCATGGATGACTTCACTATTGAGTGTGTTAAGGAAGGCAGTGTCTTCCAGGAGAGGCTGGATGAGGAGTGCTGGCCAGAGAAGCCCTTTCCTAAAGCCTTTTGAGATTGGCGTCATCAACCACAGAAGGGCCAGCCAGTCTGCTCTGGGGTGGTATGAGATGAAAAAAAAAAAATCTGGGTAGACCGTAAAGAGAGAAAGAAAAGAAATGACACCGCTTGGAGCTTAGTTCAGAGGCTTGTAACAACGGTTGGAATAGCAACATGCTCTTGGGAGGCCACATCATGATGGCCCTGCAGAACCAGTGACATTGCCATTCCCCAGTGATAATAACCCAAAGCAAGAGAGTGTAACCCAATGTTTTTCTACCCTTCTTTCCCCATCATCCAAGAAACCACCTCTTTTCCTCTAAATATAGATGAGGGGAAAGCATGAGTTCTTTGAAACTTAGATACAGCATTTTTAGATAATCTTTATAGACCAGGGTTCACTAGATGGGCTTCAGAAAGCAACTTCCCATAGGAGATCATACTGCTCTATGCTCATATTTTCTCCAGTCTCTATTGATGGGACTGTGTGTCAAAATCCATGGTCCATTTACCTGCCCACAGGACCTGAGACTCAGAAAGACATTCTGCCTGTACACTCAGAAGTGGAGGCTTACATGAGGCAAGAAGGGTTGGCGAATCCTTTCAGTCTGAACTTGATGTGAGTCATTCTGAGAGCATTGTAGTTATCACACTTCCTCACTGGACAGGATACATCATTACTCTTGGGTTCTCATCCACTGTCAGTTTCACAAACTGCCCCTGGAGAATCGACGCCATTTTGGTGGGAGGCGGTAGGTTCTGGAGACAAGCCATGCTCACTGTCTAGGATGACTATGTGTGGATACTATTAAGACATCCTCAACAACTCTTAGCTGTTCTGTAAAGGATAAGAATGTCTAACACATATGAACAAAAAAAAAAAGGAACAGGAATCATTACTAAAGGTTCGAAGAAGTGTGGAATTTGAGGGCTGTGCAGGTGCTCTGAGGGACTTTAAACCAGGATATAACATTTTAGCAAAGGCCACCATGACACAAGGAAGAGATGTGGTGTGCAGCCTGGGCCTGAAACAGGAGCCAACCAGGGAGGGTAAGCAGCTTCAAGGGGTCTGATCCCACCACACAGGCAGAGGGGAATAAGCAACCCCTGAGGTGCGGTAGATCTGTCTGCGATAGGAACTCCAGGGATGGACTTGGGGATCTGGAGGAACCAAGTCCAGAGTTCCGATTCTGAAACTGGTTACCTTGGGCATGTGACAGTATCATGCCCAGCCCAGAGGAAGTGACTTATGGGAAGCCGGGTTCAGACATGTGGCCATGAGATGCAGTGGCCATGGCGAACCCTGGGTGTGCTGGCTGCCTTGGAACAACATTCCCATGTGAGAGTGATATCCTGTACTAAGGCTCTCTCTGCCTCTCTTACCCACTCCCCTCATCTCTCCCTATCTCTTTCTCTGTGTCCCGGACATATGCCACACATGGTAGATGCAGCTTCACAGGCCCAGGCTACTGTCCGTAGGGAAGAGGCACTTGACCCTCTGAGGCTATATGTTCCTTTATTCCCAGATCCAGGTCCGGGGACACACGCTCCTGTACCTGCTTTTCCCCGGGAAAAGAAAACACGAAGAGCCATGTAGACCCCCGTTGGGAGTGAAAGGAATGCTTGAAACATCCAGCTTTTAAGGGACAACAGAACTCTGCTGCCTCATCATCAGTGCCTAGTGTCCTCCGTGGGTGCAGGGTGGGCTCTGGTGCCCCATGTCTAACACCATCCGTGAGCATAGGGTGGACTGGATACCTGTTATCCAACTTCATCAGTGAGTCCAGTGTGAATTTTATGATAGTGTCCGTCTTTGGGTTTCTATTGCTGTGAAGAGACACCATGACCATGGCAGCTCTTATAAAAAACATTTAATTGGGGTGGCATACATTTTCAGAGAGTTAGTCTATTATCATCATGGTGGGGTATGGTGGCATGTAGGCAGACATGGTGCTGGAGCTAAGAGTCCTACATCTTGATTGGCCGGCAACAGGAAGTGAACTGAGACACTGGACATGACTTGAGCATATATGAAACCTCAAATCCCACCCCCACAGTGACATACTTCCTCTAACAAGGCCATAACTACTCCCACAAAGCCACACCTCCTTCTAATAGTGCCACTCCCTTTGGGGACCATTTTCTTTCAACCAATTATCAACCACAGTATCCATGTCTAAAAGAGGCAGAACTGGCACTAAGCAAGGTTTTTCTAAGCACAACCCTGTTGGAAAGTCCCTCAGCCCACCTCCAGTGACCCAGAGAAACCTCTAACTATTCACACAGCCTTCACAAATACCTGTGCTTGCTTACACTAGCCAAAATTCCAGCCTGTGCTTAGCCTGCGGCGACCTGAATGCACAGCTGTGGACACAAGTGCCCTTCGGTCATCTCCCCTTCTCCCAGACACACCCCATCCCTCCTCTAATCCTCCAATCAGCCACACTTACACTAGTGTGTACGGCATTATGCTGCTGTCCCGTGGTACCCGCGAGTTAGAGATACAGCTGTTGGGTCAGGCTAATTCTTTTCAGCTGAGTTTCCAGACTGATCAGCAGCATTCCAAGATGCTGAACTCGAAAATGCTGAACTAGAGGGTGCTACCATTCTCCTGGTTACAAATATCTCAACCATCGATTCAGCCCAGCCAGCCTGCCATACAAGTGCATCTAAGCTGAGCGGCCCTGTTGGCACAGCAGTCGTGGCTTATCTGTACCAAGTGGCCAGAATAATGGCCTTTCCACACCAAGCCTCACTAGAAGCTTTCCCAATTCAAAAAGAAAATGAAGCCCTGCCAGTCGTTACTCCTGCATGCAGTGACAAGCGGTATCAAAAGAAATTGGTTTGGCTCAGGGCAGCACAACATTGTGCACAGTCCATCACCATAGCAACCACGATGGTGTGACAAGCATTCTCTTCCATCGGTTTCATTTTACATGGGAGGAGAGTGAGACATGGGATGGCTAAGTGGCTCCCCCGGTGCTCTAGCCTAGTGCTTGTCCCTGTGCCATTGTGCTATTGTCGCGGCCAGGTTGAAGAATGGCTCCTACCGGGGCACGCCAGTCCATTAAATGCCACTGGGTTCCCATAGCGTTTCCTACTCGGTTCTGCATTTAGAGAGAGAAAAACACTGTTGACAGCACAAGTAATGGATTGTTCACTGCAGTAATTGCCCATTTCAGCAGCTCCTGTCCTGAGTTGGGAGGCGTTTCAACAATGTTCTCATCCAGAGCCCAAGGCAGGCAGTTTGACAAAGGTTTAATTGCATTGGCCATAGCATTCGATATGACTGCACCTCCCTTACGACACTTACTGTACCTCCCCATTGCAAGGCAGAGAATCCCCTGCATAGTGCCTATGTTCTTTATGTCTTTGCGTTAGCACTTTACAGGGGGGAGAGCCCCATACAGATAGATGTTCATCAAGAGCAAAATTCTGTTTGCGGAAAGCAAACAAACAAGAATCGGCACCCAGGAAAGGACTAAGTGTAGACACAGGGCTCCACAGGATTGGAGGAAGATAGAGGAGACCACACAGACCCTATCACTCTCCCAGTTAGAGGAGAGGGCAGGACACAGGCTCTTCCAGTAGTTGGAAAGCGCTATGATGGAGGCAGGGGTGAGGTATTAAGGAAACACAGAGAGACCATTCATTCATTCAAACCTAGAGGAAAGGAGAGAGGGGTAGAGAACATTCAGGCAAAGTTTTCAAGAGATCATAATCCCTGGGTCCTTTAATGGCAGGTAGGTGCTGTGTAGGCAGACAGGGCAGGAAGCATGTTCAGCAGGAGGACTAGCCAGGGTAGAGGCAGACAGGGTGGGAACCGTGTTCAGCAGGAGGACTAGCCAGGGTACAGACAGGTAGGTGCTGTGTAGGCAGACAGGGCAGGAACCGTGTTCAGCAGGAGGACTAGCCAGGGTACAGACAGGTAGGTGCTGTGTAGGCAGACAGGGTGGGAACCATATTCAGCAGGCGGACTAGCCAGGGTACAGACAGGTAGGTGCTGTGTAGGCAGACAGGGCAGGAACCATATTCAGCAGGAGGACTAGCCAGGGTACAGACAGGTAGGTGCTGTGTAGGCAGACAGGGCAGGAAGTGTTCAGCAGGAGGACTAGCCAGGGTAGAGGCATAGCAGTGAAATGAAAACAGCTCCTCTTCAGAGTACTTTCATCTGGTTTGATGTGGGAACAAGATGTGGGAGGAGCCGTCCAGTATGGACGGGCAGTTTCTCTGCAGAGATCAACATTAAATCTGAAGGACTGATGGGATTCATCGTATAATGGTAGATAGAGGGGGCGTCTAGACAGAGAGAAAGCAGGCAAAGAGCCCCGGAGCAGGCAGCGGCCTGGGGCATTTGGAAAGCGAGGAAGGTTCATGCAGAAGAACCAAGAAGGGCTGTAGTGGGCAGACAGGCCGGCAGACACAGGTCATGAGGGTGCTTTCAGGAGGCCTCAAGGAGTCCAGGTTCTCAGCTGAAGGGAAGGACATTAAAGGGTTTTGGAGAGCAGATGCAGACTGAAGTAATAAGGATTGGGTTTACCCTCTCTCCCCAAGCTACTGAACATCAGACAGATATATATGGCAGCAGGTGAC